TGTTCGGCACCCGATGAGTCACGTTCATATATTGACGGTTTCTACTGTACTATAGTATCTGACAATATACAAGATAGTTGTCCCAAATGGTAATATAAATTATAGTTATGGTAATCACTGATTACTAATCAGCATTATACTTTTCTCTCCGTGTAAAATGTCTTTGGTTATAAACTTAGTTAAAAAATATTATCCAAATAAACAATTTATATTTTTATTTAATTAACCATTAAGGGCCCAGCACAATACATCAGCCCGATATACAAAATTAACTTGTTCTTGAAAAGCAAAAATAACTAAGTTACGCCTAGAGCTTCTATCCGAGAAAGGAGAGAGGTCTCTCTTTCTGCCATCAAAAGAACAGCACAGCAAAGCTTATTTCAATTTCTAAGTAAATTAATTAACTAGGTAATTATACACCATACCATACCATTACACGATTCTTACCCTCCCACCCTTTTCGTCTACTTTTGCCGTCGACGGATGTCTATCTCGTGCTTTTAAATAAATTAAATGAGATACAAGACAGAAACATTGCTAAATAGTCAAAGGAAAATTACCTATTTATGTAACGAGGATAAAATGAAACTCTTTTTGTGAGAGCCAAAGGCTAATTTAGCCTAATTCCTAAAAATAGTAATGCACTTTTTCATTATACCTCTCTGGAATTTCCCCATGTTTATATACTTACATAAAAGTGGATATTATTTTTGATATCACATTATTTCTGTTTAAGAGATTAAAATGTAAAATTTATATGTTAGTTAAATAATACAACATGTATCCCAACCCAAATCTTAACTTTAAAAATTATTTTAATTTCAATTGGTAATTCCTAGCCATATATTTTGGTTTTCTAGAAATAGGGTATGAAAGTGTTTAGTACACAGTTAAAAAAAATATCAATTTGTGGTTTGTTACTTTTATTTTGTAAAATTTCAACATAATTCTTTGTATAAAACCAGGGATTGTAATTATTTTTACAAATACAAATATTTTATTAAAAGCTTGTAAAGGTACTATGTAATTTTGTAAGCGAATTTTCATAGGTTACAGATTATTTTGTTAATGGTTGGCAAATTATTTCGTTAAAAAAGTACACGTGAACTCAGGCAGCAAATCAAACATTTCCCACTGACTTTTTTATCGTCAACCATCCAGCTTTAGCACTACAATACGCATCAACAAGTTTCACTGACTTCAGCGTCTGCAACCTGAAATCAGGGTTGTAAACCGTGACAAAATTTTGGTCCATTTACCGGTTCAGCAAAAAAGGTTCTACCGAACTGGTTCGTTTTAGAACATTGTCAGTGTGGACAGTCAAAAACGAACCGTTATGAACCGGTCCTTGTTTATTTATTTGGAAATTATGATGAAGTATGAGAAATGCTGATATTCAGTTTAATTATGAAACGGATAAATATTTGATAATGTGTTCTATTTATTATTTTAATTTTTGAATTTTTTATCATTTAGTTTTTTTTTAGTTTATATATTATAGGCTAAAGAAGTATCGCTAGGAGCACCACCACCCGGCTGTTATCATCGTAACAAAAGTACAACTTTTAATAATCAGCAAACGCTTATGTTCGAAACGAGAGTTTATGAGAATAAAGCCGAAAAATGTTAATGTTAAATGTTATAAAAAAAATATCGAAGAAAAACCGTAGCACGATTTGTTGTGTTGTTGGGTGTATTTCGTGAGGAAATCCTGGGTTGAGTTTTTACCGGTTTTCCAATAAACAGTGTTAACCCGAATGAAGATATAAATTTTACAGTCCCTGTAAATATAAATTCTATCTATTAGATACAATAAGTCCACATTTTAGTAATGATTAACGTGAAAAGTGTACACATTTCAATTCAGTAAAAATCGTCGAACAAATAAGTCGTCTAAATTTAAAAAGCATTTAGCATTATTGCAATTTAGGCACGAGTGAGCTTGCGAGCGAGTGTTTAGAGGTGCATGCTACTATACTTTTTCTACGACAAATACTTATTATTATCTTAAAATGATTTAAATCAGAAAATTTGTATAGGGCGCCATCTATGAAACAACAGGGGAAACTGTCAAATGTCACATTTTTTCATTTTATAAACACAATTATAAAGGTTATAAATCGAAATGTATCTTGAAAATTGACAGTTTTTTACAGTGAAAGTAAAGGAACTATTTTATGAGGACTTTACAGTAGAGTCCGTGCCCGAATTTAAGTTATAGTTGAGAAACTATTTAATATTTTTGTATTGAGATAATAGAATAGTTTTCACATTTAGTATTATTTTACAAGAAAGGCACTTTATTTTAACAATTGTATGACATTTGACAACTGTCAACTAACTTAAAACTAACTTCAGCCCGTGACTAAAAACATCCCAAGCAACAATTTAAGTATTTGTTACGTATATGGGACTATTGAAGAAACTTAAAAGTGTTTTGCGACAGTCGCCGGTCTCTTTATATTACTCTTTTATTACTAAGTTACGACTAAAGTGGGGAACAATTATTGAGTTCCAAAAAGGTAACAAATATGTCACTAGCTATAAACCCTGCTACTATTTGGAACGTAGCTGCTACGTTACTAGAACGTTCCAATATCGTTGCTATAGCGTTATAATTACTTTTATTTATTTGTTTTTACTTCTATATTAACTGTCTTTGTCAAACTTATATTAGATTATACTATCCCTCCTTTTTTAAATGGAACCACTACGGACTTGGCTTTTCAATGTCGTCGTTTATTAAATATGTACTGGTAGTTTATAACTTCTAGAATAACAATATAATATTTAATTAGGCAGGTAAATTTATGAACCCTTTAAATTTTACTGTTGAACTTATGAATTTAGTTTTTGTAAAATAAATGCGCTTCATCAATATTTAAGTATAAACAAATTATTTATTTAATAATGTTTATAAATAAAAAAATCTTAATATTTATTATTAATTTTTTTATTTAATTAATAATACCGTCTATTACCAACAAAATTACTTTTTATTAAAAAGTAAACAACCATTTACAAACAATTAAAATAATTTATTATCTACATTACCACGTGGTACTGTACAGTAAAAAATGGCCGATAAGAAGCATTTTCCTTTGAAGTAGTTTTCGCTACTTTAAAGTTTTTTTCCACTTTACGGTTGTTTTGGTTAGTACCATAAACGTTCCAAATACTAAAGTAATAACTTTTAAGTTATTAACTTTATAGTTTTTAATACATGTTCCAGTTTCGAGATTTTAACTTACAAAGGGACTACGAAGTAAAAATAATTATAATGTAATCTTTAGGTGGCAACCGAAAGTAACTGCTACAAATTAAATTGAATTGAAAGTTTTTTTTACTTATAACACCTTTTTTAAAGTTGCAAAGTCTTCTTGGGGGCAACCAAGTTTTACTTAAATGTTTATTACTTTATAGTAACCATTTAAGGAAAAATTAAGTTTCTATTGCTATTTAAAAGTTAGAATTACTTTTAACTAAAAATTAAAGTAGCTATTTAGTATACTTAACTAATTTAAAGTTATCACCACTTTGGCAATGGTTTTTGGAACCAAAAATGCTGCTTGGGATGTTGCTAACTTCAGCCCGTGGCTAAAGCACCATAAAGCCACAACTTGTCAATGTGTATTTAAAAGGTCACTTAGTGTCATGGAAACATGTACGATAAAGGGCGTTTTAAAGGTGGGAGTAGAAAAAACTATTGTAAAACACTTGTAAATCGTGGAGAGTTATTTAATTATGCCATAGATGGCGACAAACTATATTACTAAAAACTGTTAAAAAGTCTGAAATTACCATAATGTAATACATAAATGGAAACTACAATTAAAACTATGAAAACAAAGTAAATAATAATTTTCAACCATTATTTTACAAACTTAATATTATCCATAATTATTTATAATAAATATTTAGGTAGTAAAAACCCAATTACTTTTTTTATTAGGTTTTCACTTGTTTTGTAATTTGTGGTCCTCGTACTCGCCAAGGGCGTCTAGGCGAAATAAGAGCATGAAAGCAGGGTCTATCTAAAAATAATTTACTTTTCCGCAATGAAAAATAATTTTTTTTCTACTCCCACCTTTAAAACGCCCTTTATCGTACATGGTTCCATGACACTAAGTGACCTTTTAAATACACATTGACAAGTTGTGGCTTTATGGCGCTTTAGTCACGGGATGAAGTTAGTTTTAAGTTAGTTGACAGTTGTCAAATGTCATGCAATCGTTAAAATAAAGTGCCTTTCTTGTAAAATAATACTAAATTTGAAAATTATTTTATTATCTCAATACAAAAATACAAAAGTATTAAATAGTTTCTCAACGCCAATATTTGAAAAGTTTATATGAACATTGTGACTTTTTAATTTCGCCGGCAAACTATAACCTAAATTCGGCAACTGACTCCACTGTAAAGTGCTCATAAAACATTATCTTTACTATCACTGAAAAACTGTCAATTTTCAAGAAATATATTTCGATTTATAACCTTTATAATTTATAAAATTTAAAAATTTGACATTTGACGGTGACACACAGATTCCCCTATTGTTTCATAGATGGCACTCTATACAAATTTTTGATTTAAATCATTTTAAGATAATAATAAGTATTTGTCGTTGAAAAAGTATAGTATGCACCTCGTTTATAAACTTTTCTATACACTCATTAATTTAAGCACTCGCTCGCAAGCTCGCTCGTGCCTAAATTAAATTCGTGTATAAAATGGCGTTTATCAAACTTGATACATAATATACTATTTTACTAAAAAATTAAAAGAGAATATTTTAGGCTCATAAAAATGTCATTTTGTTTTTAGGCAAAAACTAAGGGGTGTCAAACGCTTAATTTTTTTAAGTTTAGGATTAATTTCAAGCTCCCAAACAAATGCCTAAACTAGAAACAAAAAGGCATTTTGCCTAAAATCCGGTCCTTGTTTATAAGTAAAAGTGGAAGACTGCGGAGGGCATTTCAAAACGAAATATCTATTTAGACAAAAAACAGTCGGGCCTGTTTTCCCTGCAGTCCCCTAAACCTTCTCGTCCCTTAACGCCAAAACAAAAAACAACGCGGAAGTGCGTATCCCCATGCGCGCGCACCCCGCTGTTTGGAGAGTTTCTCATGTATCGCGCGCGACACGTGTTTCCGTTCGATAACGGGTGGCTCGCGCTCGCGAAGAAATCACATTCAGTTGCATGACGTCGCCGCCACGCGAAACAGGGACGCAGCGACGATTCAAACCAATCGCGGCGCACCGTGACACGCGCCACGCACTCAGTTCTGTCAAACGGGGCACGCTGGATCGGACGTAAACAAAAATGGCATAGAGATTACAAAGTTGATCGTATGACGTGGGTTTAAAGTTCGATTGTGTTGTTTTTGTTAGGTTTAGAGACAATTATGGTTTAGTTTTACTATAAAATATAAGTTATGAATGCTTGTGAAAAGACAGTGAGTATTTTGGTGGATTAATTGTTGTGTTGTGATGGCATGAAATTAAATAAAAGTTTTATTTAGCTATTTTTATTTTTATTTTTTTATAACCTTATAACGCTTTTATTTTAAAATCTTGTATTTACCAGAAAATAATTAAATTTAAATACTCACTTTATTATGCTAAAAGGTAAAAAATATTCAAGTTTTAAAAAATAAAAATAATGGTTGTTTTAAAATAAATTGGGTCAGGTCAAAGAGGGTAAATATTTTCTCTACTTAAAAGACTGTTTTCTTATTTTCTTACTTTATTCGAAATAATTATTTTTAAAAAAGAAAACAGCTACCACGATGAAGTTCCTAGCAATAAAATCATTACATACAAAAATAAAGCAAACAATTTGCTACAAAGTTATTCTCTTTTATTTTTTTCGCTATCTCGCATATTTTTGAGATATCCACTCCTTTAAGTATAATTATCTCCTACCTAGTCCAAACACAATCACTAAGTCAAAAATTGTGATCCCTTAATTTCCCTCTACACCTTTTTTTGTCTGGACACTGACTTAATGACATTTTTGTACGGAGGTTTATAATAATTTGACTTTTGAACTAGTATTAAAATAAAGTTTTTCTATACAGGGTGTTCAAAGTGCCTTAGTTTACATTCAGGAATTGACTAATATTAGAAATTCTGAAATTCTGAGATTCTTAACTTTAGGTATAGGAAATAATAACATTTAATTTATTATTTGATTAAGTGGTGTTACATTTAAAATAAAAAAGTTATTAACGTTTCAAGATTTATTTGCCCTGGGTTTTCTCAGGTAATTTGTTAAAAAATGTAAAGAAATGACATGGAATCTTTTAAGATACCAAAAATTCCACCACTATATCCGCAAAACCAATGACAAAAAAGTTGTCAAATTTTAACGAAACAATTAATAACTCGGAAACTCACTTCAGGTATGGGAAATGGTGTAAAAATTTTACTCAAAATTTTATGTAAAAATATATGGGTTGTTTTATTTGAAATACCTAACAAAAATGATGTCACTTACATGGCATTTTATTTAAAATATTTTAATGGATTATAAACGCTTTTAAAATTTCAAATCGATATCTTTTTCCGTTCCGGAGAAACTTCTAATGGACCAATGGAATGTGAAACACCCTGTATATAGTGTTCTAATATGAACATTTTTATACGCCTGAAAATTTTGGTCAGGTAAATTTTAAAATATTCATACCACGTAAAGGAGGGAGTTATCTTAAGTACACATTATTTATATAGTATGTCTACGGATAGGATTACAAAAAGAATTTCTCACAGAAAATTTCATTATTGATAAAAGTTGTTGCTTGATTTCAAACCGCCAGAAAATTTTGAGCTGCAAATTTTTTGTTACAAATTATTTTTGCTTAGTCTTCGTTTATTTTGTTTTTGTTTCTGACATGTTTAAAGCTTCAACTTTTCATTTTATCGACAAAAACATTATACTTTTTCTGATGATAGAGTGCTGTGTCAATAAGGTTTTTTCAAAATCAACTTTCAAGTCAAATTTATCATTGAAAAATCAAGGGAATTTATTGCTTCCATGTTAACTATAAAGCATAGAATTAGCACTTGGGATTTTTGTTACCTTGTGGTTATTCAAATATTTCAAAAAAAATATCCACAAGTTCATATTTCACAGGTCGCAGCTAGAAAATAAGTAGCAAAATTTATTTTTGGACGTGAAAAAAAATAAAAAGAAGTATTATCATGATAATGATGCGGCCACCGTACTGTTATAAGATTTATTACGAAAAAATTCTGACTTATCTTTTAGAAAAAGATCTTGTTGGCAAATAAAATTGGGCCATTCAAGTCACAATTCAGGCAAACCTTAAAAAATGGTGATGAAGCCAAACGTCTCGATTGGATGGGAGATGGGATTTCTAATAATCAAAATCATAAGGTCCACAGGGTTCAAATTTACCACCAATGGTATTGTAGGAATTCAATCCAAAAGTTAATATTTAAAAAAAAGTGAATGTTGGAATTGGGCCTTAAGTTATTGAAAGTAGTTGTATTGAATCAAAAAACCTATCTGGAATTATTGCAGAAGTTTTTTAATAATGAAATTGATGATCTCCCATTAAATTATTACAACATTACCTTTGTTTTTAACACAACAATCTAATATTATTGTGCGGGATTAGTTGTACATGAAGTTCAGAGACAAGTGGATAGGCAGAAATCTTCCTCATCCTCCAAATGGCCTCCACGAAATCCTGATTTAATAATTATGGACTCTTACTTATAAGGACTATTGATGCAGATCGTTTATGCTGAACCTTTGAAGAGATCCGTAAAAATTATTTGGATTTTAGGTCCAGAATTGAAGCGTGTGCTAGATTGGGGGATGTCCTGTTTAACCCTTTGTGTCCCAGATAAGTTTTTTTTGTGCAAATTTTTTTCTTAACTTAGTTTTTACCTTCCTTAGGGTTAAATTTAACATGTTTTCAGTTTGAAAAAAAAACAACCCCCACTACTAATTTTTTAAGGGCATGGGACTTGAAAGTACCGTCAGGACTTATTTGAAAAAAATACGAGCATGGTTTTAAAAATGTATTTATTGATAATTAAAAAAATCAATTAACGTCTACATCATGATATTCAGCAAAGCAGTTCTTCTTCTCGTTGCAACATAAGAAAACTCCGCAGGCTGTACATTTGGAATGTGGACGGGATTGTATACATTTTGATGAGCACTGTTCACACCTTCCTCGTTGATTTGTAAAAGTTACCCAGTGACTTCCTTTATTGCCTAATCTTACATCCTGATATACACTATAATTAAACTTTCTCCTTTTTGGAGGTAAAGTAGGAGAGTTTCGGTTTTGGGCAATGCCGCGATTTTTATTGACCCTAAGACCACCAGGACTCCCATTAATTAGACCCTGTGCTACTGAGCGCCTAAAGTCTAAAAGAGTCATTTCATCTTCCTCTAAAGCTGAATATATGATGTATGAATTGACAAAAGCAATGTCAAGTACGCCAAAAAATAAACGGTGCCACCATTTTTTTGAGCGCCTGTCAACGCAATAGCTACCTCGTAATTGATCAGCGTGATCTACGGCACCCATATACCTATTATAATCTGCTACAATATTTGGACATGGTACTTGTGACTTAGATCCATCCCTTTCCTTTCTTCCTACAGTGCAAGTCTCAGTCCCATGAAAATTAGAGGCGAAGTGTACACATTTATTATCTTTCCACTTGAAAAAGCTAATATTCGCATTTGACACCCTGTAATCAAAGTCTCCTCTCTTCATTTTTCTATCTTCCAGTGTTAACTGCGGACAATCTTTTCTGGATGCACGAATAGTTCCACAAGCTAGTGTATTTTCTATTTTCAGCCTTTCCAAGAGGTGAATACTGGTAAAAAAATTGTCAAAGTAAATCTTTCTGTATTTACCCCACTCAGGTTCAGTCAGTTGAAGCACGACCCGTTCACCCAGTCCATAGTCCTTGAATCTGTTTTCTAGCTCAGCATTTTTTCCTTGATATATTTCAAAACTTTTTATGTAACCCTTTTGATCAGCCAAACACCACAGTTTGTATCCTCGTTTGATAGGTTTCATTGGGTTGTATTGTTTCAAGGTTGATCGCCCTTTGAAGACGATCATGGACTCATCGACAGCCATTTCTCTGGTACCATAATACAACTGGTTAAAATTTTCATTCAGTTTGTTCACCAGCGGCAATATCTTATATATTTTATTCCTATTATTGTGTGGAATATTCTGATTATCATTGACATGTAAATAACTAAGAATATCCTGAAACCGATTGCGAGTCATTGTTTTACGAACCAATTCTACACCAAGATCACTGCTTGAACTCCAGTAATGCTTGTAGCTGGGTAATGAATGATAGCCCATAATAAAGTTTATGCCCAAAAATGCAAGCAGCTCATCCTCCTTCAAATTTAAGTTTTTATTTTTTTGGGTAGCATATAAGTTACTCTGATAAGTTATATCTGTTATCGCTGTCCCCACCAACCTTCTAAAGTAATCGGTGGGAGACAGGCATGTTAAAAATTCCTCAATAAGTGGCCCTTCAGGAAGATCATAATTGGAAATATTTGTATCCAGCTCTCGTTTTTTCCAACGCCGATCAATATTTTTTTTTACATTTTTCTCCTTATTGCTATCGGCTTGTTTAGAATTGTTTTGATTTTTTTCAGAATCAACTATAATACTATCTTCACTTACATTTATAAGTACATTTTGGTCATCTTCATTATCTATAAGAAAAATGTCCCTCTGTGGTAACTCTGATGGTACATTTTCTTTCTCGAAGTCGCTTTCTGTATCAGTATCGGGTGAATTATCAAGCGGTAATTCTTCAGATATCTCAATTTCAGCTTGTTCAGCTGCTAGCAGCAATTCCTCGTCAGTCAGAGGCTTTTTCCAGTATGCTCTATCACGCCAAAATGCCATTCTCGTATTTTATATTCAGCCTCCAAGTATGAAAATAAAATCTGAAAATAAAACAATTTTTGTAGCTTTAGTCTTGACGGTACTTTTGAGTACATTATTTATTTTAGCAAATAAATGTAACACAAAACGTTTCAAGTAAATACAAATTTAGAATACCTAAAGATAAAGGGTTATTTTTACTTACCTCAAAGTTGAATTATTTAAATATTCAATTGTTTACGTTCCTGGATGTTTCAAACTTGCACTTCAAACAGCAGCTCCTAACCTCACAACGATCACTACTGTCAAGTCGAATAACCTTTATTTGCAGGTTGCCTATATAAGAATATAAGAGTGACTCGCTTTATAATACTGTACTCTAAAGTACCGTCAGGTCTGCTAGCCGATTATATTCACACATACGATTTAAATGCTGTTTCAAAAAGGTGGTACTTAAAAGTACCGTTGGGACACAAACCTTTTAACTTTTTACTTTATAAGATCATCATATATGATAGGTAGGTATGATAGGTAAAAATTTCACGAATGTCATTAATTTTTGCTTATAAGCAAAAATTAATGACATTCGTGAAATTTTTACCTACCGTGAATCACGAATCATGATAATAACATTCATTTATTAAAAACAAAATGACAAATTAACAAAAACTAATAAAAAATGTTTTTTTATGATTTTATGTCCAAAAATGTAAGAAAAATCAAAATTGGAAATCACCATACACAATAAAAATTATGTTCCCTATTCAGGGGGTTTAAAATCAAGCAAAAACTTTTATTAAGAATGAAATTTTCTGGAAAAGGTAAATTAAACTTTTTTTTTCACTTTGTAAACCCATCTCCTAACTTAATGACATAATGACCCAAATATAAAATTATAAAAATATATTTTTTTAAAAAATAAAATAATTTTTATATTATAAAATTCATAACTTTAACTAGAAATAATTCATATTAAAACTAGATCAAAAGTCAAATTATTATAACCCTCACTACAAAAACTAAAATTTCATCATCATAACCTTTTTTTATCTCTGGCCATCATGTCAGTTCAACCTAACCTAAAAATTATGTTTGCCGCACAGCAAACGGAAAATTATAGAGGTGTATAGGATGACGCCACGTTTGAATATCGATTTCTAAATCTCCCTACGGTATAGAGTTGTATTCGTCAGTCGAGCGTTTCAATACTCTCCACAGTATAGAGGTCGTAATTTCACTTTTGAACTAGTATTAATATAAAAATTATTTTATGCTTAAAAAAACTATATACGACATGATTGTGATTTTTTTCATTTTATTAATTAATTAAGCTGAGTTGAATATTTTTCCTAAAGGAATAATTGCCAATGGGCCATTAATTAATTTGTTCGTAGATGCTACAATAACTTGCACTGGTGTGTACTTTTTCATCAACCAGATTTAAATATTACAAAATTAACATATACCAGTGGAGATAGTGCAGGGTCTACCAACAGACCTAATTACTAAATTATTAATTAATAAACTTTAAAGTTTAATAGCATATCGATCATTTTTCAACATAACCTCTTAAATTTTTAATACAAATATAGGTACTTTATATAATACATAAATATACTTAACATCATATCCTCTGTGCTTTACATACCTGAGTTGTTACGGTAAATAAAAATCAGACAAAGGAACCAAAGAAAGGAACTATTTTTAACAAAATCATATGGAGAAATGAGAAAATTCATCCATCAAAAGATCAAAACTTCTTGCAATATTACACCCTCTTTTTATACTCTCAGAAATATTGACTAGAACAGTATTAGAGAGACTCCAGTTTCTATAACTTGGTAGAGTAAAGAGAAGTCGAAACCGTTGCGATATTGCATTGCGCTGTTTTTGTATAATTCTCGGGGACATTAACGAAAATCATTGCCAGTAAAATTCGAAAAGCTTGAGTTTCTATGTCTCTGAGGAGAATAGGAATCCGAAGTTGCTGCACCATTGGACTTAACCCTTTTTTAATAATTTCTAGAGACATATATGACTGCACCATTCGACAGGGTCGAGTTTCTACTCCTCTGTTGAATATAGAAAATCAAAATAATGTATCTTGTAAGACACCATTGAGTTTGACTTTAAATATAGTCGTGCATAGGTATAGAGCCGAAAAATATAAAAACAAAGCACGATTCAATACAGTTATGATAAAACTTTAAGATTTGATATTCAAACGCGGAGTCATCCTATACACTTCTATAATTTTTCGTTTGCTGTGCGTGATTGCTTCGCACACAATCCACTAAAATGTATTTTTGGCCATAATATAAGCTATGATCTATAATGTACTAATTTTGTTTAAAAATGGTATCTGCAACATCAAATAAAAGGTATTTAAAAAAAAAATTAAATTAGGCAGCTGAGCATGGTTGACAAATTTGAATCATAATGAAAATATAAACACATTTTTTAAAGCAATAAAATACTAAAATTTAAATTTAGAAACGTTTTAACGACTTTTAAACTAAAATTAACCTCTCCAATGTGGTGCTATTGCTCATTTTTCAGGGCATTTAAGGTATTTAAGAAAAATGATTTAGGTACAAACCAACTACAAAATAATATTTTTACATATTTTAATTTTTTTATATATCTAAATAATATGTTAAATATTTAAAAAATCCAAAAAAAAAATGAAAATCTAAAAAAAAACTTTTTGCATAACTGAAAACGTAGTGCTGCAAAATACAAGTTAACACTTTGTTTATATATTTTTTAAACCTTGTTAACCTTAACTTTGTTAGTGTATACTGTATGTAAACAATTACTTTTGTTTATATGACGGCATGTGTTACAGTGTAAACAGAATTTCACACATTCGTTGGTTGACCTATTTTAAATATTTAGGTGAATAAGCTTGCCGATATAAACAAAAATGTTACAAAGGAAAAATCCATTATTAAATGATGGAGTTTGAAACATTGATATAATTATTATATGTAATTGGGTCATTATACTTTTTAGCCCCATCTCTAAAAAGTAAATATTTCACATTTTCATATACATTGTAACTATTATTTAGGCAAACTAAAGTTAATTTTAATGTTACTTTCAGCAATAAAGTTTTGCTCTTATTTTTAAGTTTAATATCGTAGTGGTAGCAGTGCAGTGAGACAAAAGAGACATTTTTCACAATAAAAAATCTATTTTCCAAGTGACACAATAGAAATCAAACAGAAATCTTTTATATGTAATGCTAAACTCCAGTATTTTTTAACAAAGCTGTTTCTATCTAGGTGGTTTGTGACAAAGTAGACATTAAAGGTTTTCATTTTAGTTTTAGTATTCTGTTTCATACAAAACCTAGGAAATATATAAGTTTTCACTATTGCAATATGATGGGATTATAGAGTGTTATGCTAACTTTTAACCTTAATTAGGACATCTAAAATATTTTTATATTAAATTAAAAAATAATTTTTGTTATTTTACTTCTTATTTATGAATCTAGTCCTATATTAGCTGTCTAAATATACGTGCTGTTGCAATATGCTATTGCAATATGATGGGGGTTATAAAGTGTGATGCTAACTTTTAACCTTAATTTATACCTTTAAAATATTTTTATATTAAATTAAATAATTATTTTTGTTATTTTAGTTCTTATTTATGAATCTAGTTCTATATTAGCTGTGTATTTTTTTTAACAGGAAATGTTAGTTACAACTGACAAATGGCAGATAGCTTTTATATATACTATACTATTTAAACCAATTAAACAGTTTTTCATTCAGTTTGCGTCATATTAACCAACTTTACTTTACCTATAGTTCTACCCATTTTGATGAAATTTTAAAACCGAACCGAGATTGAACCTGACCGTTGGTCGTAAAGGGTCCATCGTCATAAATATGCAAAATGACATTTCGGTCATCCATTTCGATCTGTATCTTTTTTATACATTCGTACATTCCATTCGGAATTTATAACGCTTTAAATCAAACGGTCCTCTAACTCTCGAATATATTTTTGATACTCGTATAAGCACGGAAATAAAAAAAAATCCCATTAATAAAATTTTGATGTGATGTATGATATTGCTTTGCAATATATTTGCTATGCTATGATAAAAATTATCACGGGTAAGGTAATAATCAGGTTTCTGTTATTAAATTGCAATATTAATACGATAAAATAATCGCAATTTTTTATATTAATAACCTATAGGGTTTTAATTTCAATTTTTTTTTATAGATTGTATCGTCATAAATTATGACTCATAATATACAATTAAAGCAAGATTTTATGTCAACATTGCATATTTTTTACACTTATGTAATTACAGTAGAAACCACCAATATATGAACGTGACTCATCGGGTGCCGAACATATCTCAGACATGCTAGCAGTAATGTTTTACTTGTCTTGTACATTCGATGCAGCGGTAAATGTACTCACACAAAGGTTTTTAAGCATCCGTGATGTAAAACTGCCTAGGTGTTCGACAAAGATGGACATATGACGCGTGTCCTAGCTTATTACTTAATTTTGTTGGAATTCAGTAGAGCTCGTGTTTTAGGCAATTTATTTTATTTTATTACATAGTAAGGCAACCAACTCTACCGTCGGCCATTTGTTTTTATATGTCATATGATCTTTGTTTTTGCACATCGTGTTTCTGCTGTGTGTTTACGGATTAATAATCATTTTAAACGTTGTAGTGGCAGTGGTTTATATTATTTAACACAGGTAGATGTCGTATAAAAATCCTTATCTAGAAATTCTAGGCTAGAATACAAAAATATTTTTATTATATAAATTTTGTACTTAGTATTAGTTTAATACATTCTGAAGAAGCTACTGTGTACCGAAACAAATGTCAATATTTAATAAATTTCGTGAAACTAACGCAAGTTGTTTTTATATCCACACAATTTAAATATCTTTCACTTTGTACCTGACCTGCGTAAACATTTTTGTTTTTTTGTCACCAATTCTGAAATATTTGCGTTTACAGTTAAAAGAATAGT